GCAGAGGGCGACAGTCGATGCAGAGGGCGACAGTCGATGCAGAGGGCACGTTCCCCTTTCTGGGGGAATGTAGACCAGGGACATTTTAGATCTAGATGAGGAGGAATTCCTTTGGAATTCTTTTTCCCAAAGATGAGTAGAGACTGGGTCAATTCATCTATTTTGATCTATAAGATAGTCAACAATTGGGGGGCCAGGCAGGAAAGTAGAGTTAAGACCATAACCAGATCAGTGACCTGATAATACAAGCATTCCAGGTATTAGTCAATGTTTTGCCAGAGTATAACTTCTCCGTCGCCTGCTTACTGCAGGGAACAAGAGCTGCCATTGCTGGGTACTCCCTGCTTGAATCTTTACTGTAGCCTCTCAGTTGGGAATGTGGAATAGAGGAATTATACCTCAAAAAAAAAAGTCATTGATAAATTTCACAGCAGCAGACAATGAAAACCCTGACGTGTTATCATCTCACCAAAAAAAACCGAGTGCCGTTTTTACATGGTGTAATGGACTCATAAGCTGTTACATTCAACTCCCAATATGAATTGTTGATCCAAATTTCTTTCCAATACAAAAATCACTGGTTTTTGTTTACATCACTTATTCACATCTCTGTGACTAGATCTTAACAGTATATTCAGTAATTACAGGCAAGGATTTTATTTTACCCACATTCAATCAAATATTTGGCTTTGTTTCAGTTCTTCAATCTCAAGTTTCCTGTGTTATGATTTCCAAGCTTTGGTCAACAGGGAAAGACCAAGACTTTTCTCCAAGACAACAGAAACTCCACTTTAAACATGGGTTAAACCCTACTCAGTACATCAAGCTTATAGAGCAAGTTGAACTCTGTAAAACATGTATTTTTGGGCATGCAAGCCTGTCAGGGAGTGCCATGAGCAGGTGAAATTGCTATTTAAACCCTGGTGTTTAGGATGGTATAAACAAATCAATGCAGCCTCTTTCGATCTCTCTGCTTTTAAACAGCCCACACAGAAATATTTAAACGTGAATCAAAATAACATGTTGAGCATGTAACGATTAGAAAATAAGATGAGGGACTAACTATAATCTGAAAGCATGAATCATTGGCTTTTGGCTACATAACCCGATTGCTGGACAACACAAAATTAGGACTTAGGACATACAGATAAACATCAATGCCTGGTTCATTTCAGGAAGTTGTAACGACTATAAACTAGGCTGGCCTCTGGGTCACTGCGCAATGCTGCGAGTGAAGGAATGAGTTGAAGCTTTGTTTAACTAAGCCTTTACATTTATGATGGGTGAAGAAAGTAACTTAATGAGCAGCTCCTATAGCCATCTTACAATGTTTTCTTATTCGGAAGATGACAAAGAACTGTGATTGCTGGAAACCTGAAACAAAAACAGAAATTGTTGGAGAAACTCTGCAGGTCTGGCAGTATCCAGAGACAGAAAGCAGAGTTAACAATTTGAGTCCAGTGACCCTACTTCAGAACTATTCAGAAGATAGGTCACCGGACCCTAACCATTAACTCTGCTTTCTCTCCACCGATGCTGTCAGACCTGTTGAGTTTCTCCAGCAATTTCTGTACTGCTCATCTTCAGAAGATTTGTGTGTTTCACAATGAATTATATGCACAAATTATTTTGCATTCCCTTGGCAAAATTCTGCCCTTAGAAAGAAATACCTGGGTGTAAAAGTGAGTAAAGAATTGCTTCCTAGTTGTGAAACAGATGTTCATCTTTCAGATACCAAATCTCCGTCCTAAATGCATCTCTGCCAACATACCAATTATTTTCCAGTATACAAACTACATCTCAACAGTAAAGCAACACAAATCCTGGGGATAAATGGATAAACCTAATGAAACCACAGTCTAAACTCCTCATTGTAAAGACAGAATGGAAACAGGATTACAGACGTCAGAATATGTTTCTACAAATGCTAATCTGTGGACATCTAATTGCCGTGGAGTGCAAGGATTTAGAAGGGAGCTCGTTTCATGACATCCAACTGCTGTTGTACATCAGATTAGCAAGTACCTAGCTGAAGCGAGACTATCAAGCAAGAAACTTTGACAAATAAAAATAAGGTAGATGTTTGTAAGGATAGCTCTTTAAGGGCACTTAATTGTTGGAAGGAGTAGGCAGCGTCCGTCTTCTTATCAGCCATTTGCTAAACCACTCTCTAAGCTTGCTCCCAAGCTTAGGAAATACATGAGACCAATCTTTCAATATACACCTAGGTTATGGAACCAAAAATACAGAAATATAAACAGAGGGTTAAATTTAAGATTAAATGACCTTTCACTAGAATTGGGAAAGAGTTAGAAGAAACACAGCAGGTTTGAAGCAAAGGGTAAGGGGCACAAAATCATGGCAGTGTTTGCCAACCAAATGGAGATGCTCTACAAAGCAGTCACCCAACCTGTGCTTCTTGTCCCCATCATAAAGGGCACTGCATTGTAAACAGCAAATAGAGCTAGCTAAATTGAAAGAAGTACACATAAATTGCTGATTTACCTGTAAGGAGTGTTTGGTCTCTTGGACAGTAACGAGAGAGGACAAAAAGAACTGGTCTTACATTTCCCATGTTTGCATGGGATACCACCAAGGAAGGGAACAGGCTGTAGTCGGTAATTGAGTAACAGACCAGGGTGACTCTGGGGGATGGGGGGTTTCTTCTTGATTATACTGAAAGGGTAGAAAGGGGATAATGAATTTGTTAGCAGTATCACCTGGAGTTGGCAGTACACGAAGGCTGGCTGATGGAGAAGCTGAAAACAAGGGAACCCCATCATGATTCTTGGAGGCAATGAAAAGGATGAGTAGTAGTAGTGCAGGAAATTGGTTGGACACGGTCAACAATGAATCAGTGGGCATCCTCAGTAGTGCATGAGAAAATGTTGGAAGCACTGGTGTTAAAGGGACCATTATTGGAACAAACGAGAGTGACACAAAGTGACAGAACAAAATGGAGTCATTAAAGGGAGCAGGATGCGAGGAACTGTAGTCAAGGTATCTGTGGGACTCGTGTTTATAATGAAAGTCTTTTTGATAGCTTTTGCCAGAAAAGGAAACAGAAGATGAAGAGAAGGGACGGACCAAGTGAAAGTGTGAGAATAATGAAAAAAAGGAAGCAAAGAAGTTTTGCAATTCAGAGCAAGAGCAGCACACAAAACAGTCATAAACGTAGTGGAAGAGTTAAGGAAGGAACCCGAGCAGAATTGGAACAAAGAATGTTCCACATAAAGACAGGCACATCTAGGGCCCAAAAGGGTTCCCTAAACAACACCTTTAATTCCTCTCCCTTCCTCCAAATAAAAGGAGAAATTTGGTAAATGATGAAAGCATAGGCAGGTGGAGGAGAGTGGTGGTGGATGGTACTGGTTGGATCTCGTAAGGAAGAACCAGAGAATCCTCAGGATTGTCCTAGTATTGGGGATGGAGACATAGAAAGGTTTAACATTCATGGTGAAGACGAGACTGTTACAGACAGAAAACTGGAAACTAATTAAAAGGAAACTAGACAAAGAACTGTCACTGACGTAGTATGCAAAAGACTATACAAGCAGAGAAAAGAATGGAAACAAGATTGGTAGAAATATGGCAGGATCAGGTTGAAACAATGAGTTGACTCAGGGTGTCCTAGAAGATTTACAGATCTTGGGAAGGGAAGTAGCAACAAGCTGTATAGGATTGGGGAAAGAGCAAATGGGAAGTCATAAGAGTGAAGAACAGTGGAGGAAATTAGGTCAATGACTGTTTTGTAGACAAACACTTGATGTTTGATGGCCAAGTCACAGGCCAGGGAGGTTTGCAGGAGACAGGAAGAGGCATCAAGAGTCTGGAGTCAGCCTTTACAAGGTAGAGTTCAGTTTGCCAGACAAAGTAGCAACCCCTTTGTCAGCAGGTCTAATGACAAAGACAGACCTAACGGAACAAGTTCAGAGGGTCAGTGAGAGACAGGTTAGAGTGGGTGAGGGCAAAGTAACAGACATTTGATCTCACATCAACAATTCTTAAATGAGAAGATTTAGCAAGAGTATGAGGCCAGAGGGAAGGATCCAGGTGGAGTAGAGGGGGCGAGGGAGAAACATTCCTGCTGGCAGAGACAAAGTTTCAAGATAACTGACCAAAAAAACACACTACAGGAGGGAAAGAGTTTTTTTTTTAAAATACTCAGCAAGTTGTGATAATATGGAATGCAGCAACTTTCATAAGGAATTGGATACTTGAGGTAAAGCACAGGGAAGTGAGGCAAACTGGAAAGTACGTGCAGTTATGATGGATACAATAGCTTCCTTCTGTGCTACAAAATTCTATGAATTGACAAGCGCAATGTGCACAGAGACTTCACAAAAGAGTAAAGGATCTTTCCATCTTTCTCATACACCTGCATTCTCAGCATGGATCCCATCCGCATTGATGGGATTCATGACTCAAGCCTCAACCCACCAGGTATGACAGTGAAGTGTGATAATTACAACAGATGCCTCTTCTAAATGAAGAATGTGTTTATTGGTCTTCCTTAGTTATAATACAGCTCAAGGCTGTGATGATCACTACATTCTCTCACTAAAGAACCTGTTCTTCAGGATGGTGAAGGAGAAAGGACACCTAGTATATCTGCCACCTTCATATTATGGGTTCAAAAAATGAACCAGATCTCGTAATGTTATAAAATGTGACCTCTACATAAAGATCACAGTGTGTTCTAAAGATTTCAGTGCAATGTTCTGTAACAGTGTCAATACTCAATTCCTTATTTTGTGCAATTGCAGTTACATGAATCAAGCTTAACTTTGTATTTTTAAACATTAAGACTACAACAAAACCAAACCTGAAAAACACCTGTACAAATCCATGTGCATAGTACATGGACTATATACAAATATCATATACAGAGAATCACAGACATATTGCTGCAGATATTCCTATGGCTCTGAGTTCAAACAGCAGTAGCTCTCCTTTGCAAAAAATCAAATCTGAAGCAGTTATAACTCGTGCCTTGCTCAAAAGGAGGATACAGAAACATGCAAAATAGCAGCAGAGCCCGAGGGAGATCATGGCCCATCTGCTTCTCTCTTGAACCTGGGAATTTAACCATTTGGAACAAACTGGATTCTAATTTTTTTTTTTGAACAGGACATCAAGCTCAATTGTTTTTAAATGCACCTTTTTATATTTTAATAAAAGCAGTGTTTCTCAATTTCTTGATCTTTTCAGTGAACTTTACCTGTTCCTGAGGTGCAGCTAATGCAAACGCTCACCTTACTTGTGAAAGGAAGGCCAAGACCAATATTATCTGGGACAAGTCCTTCTTCTTGCAGGCCACTATCTCGCTCATTAAAAAGACTGCTGCAGCAAGTGAAATAGGCAATCAGTACACTTTTACTCTCCCTCTGGGATCTAGAGAATCTGCTTTATCATTTCAGATTAATGGAGGTTGCAGCTTATGTTGACTGCAGTTCGCAACATCAAACAGCACAACCTCAGCTTTAAGATAACGTAATGCCACATTATTCTGAATGCTCTGAAATTCAACAAGCAGCCCCGAATCAGGGCATTGGTGCATTCTCTTCTGACCAGAGTTACTACTGAAACCACTAGATGATTCGAGATTGGATTGACTGCTTCTTTCAGTGACAATTTATCCTTTGGCATCAACAACAGCAAAAGAGCAGTTGTATTTAACTGGCAGACAAACACAAATTAACATGAAATATACTAGTGATCAGGACTTTTGATATCAGCATTCAGAAGACATCATATACAGGAAAGCCGAATCCACAAGAGAGAAGCAGTTAGTCTACTCAGTGAATAACCAATAGATCACATTCCGTAGATGCTGATCTCCAGAAGGCACTACTAAAAGGTTAAATAGGTGATTATCCCACATCCATGGAAGAGCATGTCTATATTTAGCATACAGCAACATTGGCATAACTCCCACAATAAGTTACCAATTATCCCTGCTGTAGGAAAACATTAAAATAGTTTCAAGACAGGGTTGGAAGAATTCACAGCCAGTAAAACTGCAATTATAGTATCAATAATATAAGCATAGGCCACAAAGATTACCCAGTAGCTTCCATTCATTTTAAATTCTTTAAAAAAACATGCTGTATGGTCAAATGGCTAGCTTGGAAGAGATTCAAAGCATAATGAAGCCACAATACCAAGTTTAGAAAAATAAGTCAAATATAAACGGACTACAATAAGTTTGAAAGAATGTGATTAAGGATATGGCACAACCCACCAGTACAACCGAAACTTCTGAATTGACCATTACAAATAAATTTCAATAATTTCAGCAAGCAGGTTTCATATTTCAATGATCTCTGCTGGGGTTGTGTCTCTTATTCAGTGGATAAATAACTGGTACAGGATTTGTCACATGCCACGTGATATTTAAGGTGAAGGATCACAGATCTCCTGCACGATCCATTTTGTTGATTTCAGGTGTACTCTGAGGCATTTAAACACTCACTGTGCTCTTCTGCACACAGCTCTGCAGGTTGTTCACAGCATGATGATTCCGTAGTGACACTTAAACCAATTATTATCACAAATCTAACAGTGGTTTAACTCAATGAAATCCAAATAGATTGCCCACAAATCAGGTCTATATGACACCTTTGGATCAGAACAGTCCATTGCATAGAGACCAGGTAGTCACTATGCATTTTTATTTGAAGAGGTGTAAATGCAGTAGCAGCCATGCTGATACACTACGAAGATTCTACAACTGGTCTGTTTCTCAGTACAATGGATTATCAGGCACCGTAATGGCTGCCGTTCAGACTTGAAAGAGTTCATTTCTGGAAACATGTTCCAGCAGGCACCTAGTGCAGAAAACCACCTTTTTGTCAAAATTGCACCCTGCATTTGGGTTTGAAAATTCAATAATTCTCTTGCATAAAAATGACAATTTCTCTTTTCAGTCAATTTACATTCCCTTTCTCAGAAAATCTAGCCCAAAAACTGACACCTTTCAATAACATTTGAGACAAAGGATATTGGAAAAAGGGTATGAGCCTCCCATATCATTCATATGGGACTTTGCATTTTACTCAAACTTATGACTGGAAAAAAAACAAAACAAACTTTTTTTGTAATTAACTTTTTTGTAAATTGTACTTGGACCAATATGTTAATGCATTTATTCGACAAAAGTTTTTTTAAAAATCTTATAGCTGACCAAGTTTCCATGAATCGCCAAGGCATCAAAATTGTTCAAGAAAACCAGATAGTTATCTTCAGTCTTTAATGACCAAATAGAAAGGGGTGGAGATATCTGCAATGGGATGGAGACTAATGTAAGATGTAGAGTTTTTAAAATCTCAAGTTATTTTACAAAGCCTCCATAGATTGTGAAAAGCAAGAAAGGGCAAAATGTAATTTTCCCAAACTACAGGATTGAATAGATCAATCATTCACCCAATATTTCAACCGCTTGAATTCCTTGAATGTGGTAATCTGCATAGATCAGAAGTCACCTCTGACAGGATGCCCCAGCAGAGATTTGTGGGATTCAGGGTTGCCACTCTGAGGTGTGTCAGCTTGGAGCTCGGAGTCAATGAGGTAAGATTTCTCTTCATTCTTTGCTCTCAGTCACAACTGATAATAGCACAGTGATGTCATCTGGCTTTCCACCTACAAAAAGAAGTTGCATTTAAATGTTGAATTACCAAATGTGTTAAATGGTCTGCCTGAAGATTATCAGATGTCACGGGGTTTCCGTGGAGTGCTTTGATTTCCTCCCATAGTCCAAAGATGTGCAGGTTAGGTGGACTGGCCATGCTAAATTGGCCTGTAGTGTCCAGGGATGCATAAGCTAGGTGGATTAGCCACAGTTAATGCAGGGTTAGGTCTAGGTGGGTGGCTCTTCGGAGGGTTGGTGCAGACTTGATGAGCTGAATGGTCTCTATCTGCACTGTAGGGATTCTATGACCTGCATGAAGATATGTTGCATCTCAGAAATTAGAGCACAGCCATTTCAGTTCATTATATTATAAGATACATTCCATTTCAGATCCACAAAGGCTGCCACATTTTCCAGCTCTTTCCCAGTGCTCCTTCCTTAGGGAAACATCTCAAAATACACAAAAAAGAAACTTCAGTCCAAAAGGGAGAAGTAGGGAAAGTCAGACCGCAATGACCATACAAGTGTGTTGGCTCACACTGCCATTTGAAGCAGCAAATTATTTATGTTTACAATATTAATGGTTTTTTTTGCAGGTTTCAGATTGTTCAGGATTGTGGATCAGTCTAGAGGTGAGAAGTCAGGAAGACAAATGTCCTCAATACTCAACTTTACTGTCCTACCATGATTTCATGGGAAAGATAAATTGGGGGAGCCGTGAGACAGAGTACAGTGTGCCATCCCAGCCACAGATCTCAAATGTAAATGCTCACATAACCAAGAGGCAGCAGGAATACATCAAGATAATAGCAGCTCCAAAATGTTTCCTTAGAGATTTAATTATATTTGGCAGCTACCATACAAAATGCCAAAAATGGCATTTTTCATTCAAGTTTACACAGTAGTTATTGAAGACTACAGCAAAAAAAAAATGCAGGTCATTCTTCACTTGTAACCTTCATCTGCACAGGGCCCTCAATTCAATTCAATGCACAGTGGAAAATGAGCAAAGGATGAGTTATATCATCATGCAACCTCAAATCAAAAGCAATACTTTACCTTGGACGTTGAGCCCATTTTCACAGGCATGCTGTGCAAAGGGAGACATATAGTTTGGGTCATATGCCAACTGTTGTGCCCGTTTAGCTAAACATTTCACTGTTTCATTCAAACTCTGGTAACTTGAGTCCTGTAACAAAATGTTGTCATAAAGTTCAATACAACTTCAACACCAGCACATAAATGGTAAAAAGCTGCACGTTTTTCTTTTTCACGTCCTTTCCCCAATTAGAAATTCCTAGGCCTTTATTTATTATTGGCTAGGGCTTTACTCGTTCTAAGTTTTGAAATTTTTATTTTAAAAGATCAGTTGCACTTTAATGGAAAATGTTCAAAGCCAACAGGTGTCAGACACAGAACTGAATATTCACTTGGACAGGAAACAAAAGCAAAGACTGTTCCAGATCCAAACCTATTCCTGGAGGAAGACAGTCAGTCAGTCAGTCAGTCATTCATTGATCAGAAACCTTCTAACCCCAGAGAAGACAGTTGCAGTAAAAGGCTAAGTAATTGAGAAGGTGCTCCAACATGAAGGAGGCCTCTCAGCAATTCTTTTTTAAGTTGTGATAAATAGAGATAAAGCAACCAGGATGCCACCAAACTGGGGCAGAGATAATCATTCTGCAGGAATATTTTTAGCTGTGTTCAGACCCAGGAAGGCAGGGAGAACTTTTACACCTGCCTGAGAGACGAGATCCCCAGCCTCTTGCCAGTGCCCATCTCCAGCCAACTGCAAAATCCCAGTCACCCTCCTTTACCCACTTAACAAGGATTTTAAATGAGCCCAACGTGCTGCCTGACTTGTGGGGCAAGTATTCTTGCAGTCTCCCAGGCCCATCTCCCCAAAACAACTAACCCGAGGAAAGCTGGAAAACCAGCATACTAGCCATAACGAGTATTCTCAGATGCCAATATACGTCTGTTCCCAACACTGCTGAAGCCTGAAAATCCTGCTCACTGTATACGTCTCAATTTTAATCCATTTTCAAATGTAAGTTGGTTGCTGAAGCAAATAAAAAGTTCCATCATCTGTGTTTTTGGTACTGAAAAAGTAAATACAGCAAATAAACTGCATAGAACAGGGCAGGGGATCAGGGCAGGGGATCAGAGCATGAGACAGACAGCATCAGCATTTGTACGCTAGAGAGACACAAGGTAATCCTCGTCATCCCAGCTGAGACACCAGTAATACTGCAGGGAACTATACTTTACAATCCAGTCTGTTATACGAGATCACAGGAGGTGTCATTCCAGGTCAGGACCCTGATATCAACCTTCAGGTGCAACCAATCCCCAAGATCTGCTAAACACCAGATACCTAAACTTCTACAGGGGCATGATACGTACCATTGGAATATATTTGGAGGTCAAAAATGTACTGAAAAATTAACACTAAATACATAAAGGTTTACAGTTTTTCTTAAAATAATGAACAATATAAATGAATATCAATCTCCAATTAAGTGACTCTTGTACAAAGCAGAAAAGGCTCAGTCATGGTAAAAGAGGAGCCCCAATAAGACATCCTCATTCACGGTCATTGTTAAAAGCCAGCATGGGCAATGCTACACAATGTATTCAAGTCCCATACTCATGCACATATCATGTCATAGAGGTCTACTGCATGGAAACTTTCCCCACACCACCCAGTTTTCACAATTAAACTAATCCCATTTACTTGTGTTTGGTCCATACCCCTCCATATCTATCTTATCCAAGGAGCTCTTGACCAATTATGGAGGAAGTAAAGACCAACTAGCTTTACAACAGTGGTAGGAAAAATCTTTAATAAAAGATTAAGTTTTAAAACTAATGCAATACAATAGTTAGGCTCAGTACAGATTCCACAGGAAATGTTGTGCTTATAGATTTATTGAATTCTTTGAACAAAAAAGCTAAGTAAGGCTAATGTGGTGAATATCAAGATATTTTGATTTTCAAAAAGCCTTTGACCAGTTACCATGCAGAAGATTCATGACAAAGGTCAGACAGCAAGTATTATAGAAAAATGGATTGCAAGCTGGCTGTGAATCAGGGAACAGAGGCCAGGATTTTTGCCTCCTCTAGTAGGCAAGGAGGCAAGTGGGTGTGTAAAATAGTGACAATGGTTAGTGTGTTGATCTGCCATTGCCATTCTGACTGCTAGTGACTTTGCCCAGCATTGACAAGGCAGGAACTGTCAATATGCTCTATTTGGATAATTGGACAACTTAGCTTGTTAATGAGCTCATTGTTAGCTTATCAAATGTAAAGGAATTGTCTTTTTATGTTTTTTTTGTTAACCGTGGACTGAAATGGGAAAAGAATTGTTCTAAAACCAAGGATTGCTGGGTGTTTACTAGAATTTTTTGAAAGCAAGATACTTATTATCAACACAATGTACACAACTGCCAGTTCCAGCAGTAGTTAATGTATAGTTTGCAGGTGAGCTGAAACCAGAGGATTGTGTCTGAAAGGAGCTTTGGTTGGCATCAAGTAGCTAAAGAGACCAATGATTAAAAAACTGCCTGCCAACAATACGTTTTCATGTAGCTTAACTCAAACTCAGCAGAAATGGAACTGGATTTACCACGTAAACAGCAGTTACAAGAACAGGTCAGAGGCTAGGAATACCGCAGCAAGTAATTCACCTCCCGATTCCCCAAAGCCTGTCCACCACCCACAAGGCATCAGTCAGGAGTGTGATGGAATACTCCCCACTTGCCTAGATGGGTGCAGCTCCAACAACACTCAAGAAGCTTGACACCATTCAAGACAAAGCAAGATGCTTGATTGGCATAACATCCACCACCCATGCTCAGTAGCTGCAGTGTGTGCTATCTACAAGATGTACAGTGGAAATTCGCCAAAGATCCTTAGACTGCACCTTCCAAACGCACAACCACTTCCATCCAGAAGAAAAAGGGCAGCAGATACATGGGAACACCACAACCTGCAAGTTCCCCTCCAAGCCTGAAAGTGGCCATGTAAGTAGATAGGGTGATGAAGGAGGCATATAGCATGCTTGCCTTTATTGGTCAGGAATTGGGTACAAGAGTCAGGATATCATGTTACAGCTTTAAAAGACTTTGGTTAGGCCCTAATTAGACTACCACATTCAGTCTGGTTACCACATTACAGGAAGGATGGGGAGGCTTTGGAGAGGGTCCAGAAGATGTTTACCAAGACACTACCTGGATTAAAGGGCACGTACTGTGAAGGAGAAGCTAGAAAAACTCTGGCTGTTTTCTCTGGAGCAGCAGAGGCTCGGGGAGACTTATAAAATCTATATAAGTCTATAAAATTATGAGGTGCATAGATAGGATTGACAGTCAGAATCTTTTTCCCCCAAGAGTTGAAACAGAACAAAGAACAAATAAAATTACAGCACAGGAACAGGCCGTTCCGCCCTCCAAGCCTGCGCCGATCCAGATCCTCTATCTAAACCTGTCGCCTATTTTCCAAGGATCTGTATTCTTCTGCTCCCTGCCCATTCATGTATCTGTCTAGATACATCTTAAATGACGCTATCGTGCCCGCCTCTACCACTTCCGCTGGCAACACCTTCCAGGCACCCACCACCCTCTGCATAAAGAACTTTCCACCCATATCTCCCTTAAACTCTTCCCCTCTCACCTTGTCTAATGTCTAATACTAGGGGGCATGCATTTGGGGTGAGAAGGAGAGGGTTCAGCAGAGACGTGGGCAGCAAGGTTTTTGCACAGGGAGTGATGGGAGTCTGGAGTGTGCTTCCAGGGATCGTGGTGGAGCAGATACGATAGGGGTGTTTCAGAGACTTTTGGATGGGCACATGAATGTGCAAGGAGTGGAGGGGTGTGGACCAGGGTCAGGCAGAGGAGATTGGTTTAATTTGGTGTCGTGTTTGACACAACACTGGGAACCGAATGGCCCGTTCTTGTGCTGTACAGATGTGTTCTAGCTGTCTAAAATGTTTCTTAAATGACAATTGTACTCCCTTCTACCACTACCTCAGACAGACTGTTCCAAAGGCTTTTCACCCTCTATGTGAAAGAATTTCCCCTCTGGACCATTTTGTATCTCTCCCCTCTCATCTTAAACCTACAATGGACAAAAGATGATGGCCATCTACCTTATCGATGCCTCAGGATTTTATAAACCTCTATAAAGGTCACCCCTGTCTCCAACCCTCCAAGGAGATAAATTCCAACATATCCAATCTCTCCTTGTAACTCAAACGTTCCTGTCCAGGTTGCATCCCAGTAAATCTTTTTTGAACTCTTTCTAGTTTAATAACATCCTTTCTGTAACAAGGCAACCAGAACTACACGCAGTACTCCAAATGTGGCCTCACCAATGTCTTGTACAACTGCAAAAAGATGTTCCAACTCCTACATTCAATACTTACCTACGATGTATCATCTACAAATTTAGCAACAGTGCTCTCAGTTCCTTTGTCCAGTTAGTTGTGGTCCCAACACTGACCCGTGGAACTCCACAAGTCCCTAGCTGCCATCCTGAAAAAGAGCACCTTATCCCTACTCTCTGCCTCCACTAGTCAGCTAACCCTCTATGTACACTTTGCCCCTAACGCCATGGGCTCTTACCTTATTTAGCAGCCTTCTGTGCAGCATCTTGTCAAAGGCCTTCTGGAAATAGATCATGTCCACTGGCTTTCCTGTTCAAAGAGTTCTAACAGATGTGTCAGGCATGGGCATCCCTTCGACGAAGTCATGCTGACTCGACTCTATTTTACCATCTACTTCCAAATATTCTGCAATCTCAACCTTAATAACAGATTTTAAAATCTTACCAACGACGGAGGGAAAGCTAACCAACCTACAGTTTTGTCTTCTGCCTCCCTCTCAAATAGAGGTGCTATTTTAGCCATTTTCCAGTCCTCTGGGACCCTTCCAACTCCAGTGATTCTTGAAAGATCACCACCAAAAACTCTGCATTATACATCCCTTTGACCCTACCCTGCCATTCAAGACGACACAACTAACTTTCCAGAAATGTTAGGGAACCAAGGTTTAGTGAGGAAAAAAATAACGAAAATTTGCATCAGTTTAAAAAAAGAAAGTACTGCTGGAAAAATTAACACAACTGAAGTCTGATCAATCTCAAGAATCTGATAATCTAGATCCTAGAGTATCGATGGAGATGGCTATAGAAATATAGTGGATGAATTGGTTCACAACTTCCAAAATTATGTAGATTCTGGATTGGAGAGTGGCAAACGTAACCCCCACCTTTTAAAATTGTAAATTACAGACATGTTAGCCTACTATCAGTAGTAGGGAAAATGCTAGATTCTATTATAAAGAATGTGGTGCGAGGGCACTTAGAAAATATAAGTGGGATTAGACAAAAATCGACAAGGATTTCTGAAAGGGAAATCATGTTTGACACACCTATTGGAGATTGTTTCTCCCCCCAAGGACATAACTGGTAGAATAGATAAGAGAGGCTATAGAGCATTTGGAATTTTCAAAAAGATTTTGATAAAGCCCCACACAAGAGGTTAGGGTGTAAAATTAAAGCAAATGAGATTTTTCAAAGATATACTTGCATGAATTGAGAATTGGTTAGCAGACAGGAAACAAAGTCAGAATAAATGAAATGTTTTCTGAGTGAAAAGATGGTGACCACTGAGATACTGTGGGGTTAGTGTTTGGGCCACAGCTACTTACAACATACATTAAATATTTGGATAAGGGAATCAAATATTATATTTCTAAATTTGATTACGATACAAAAAACTAGATTGGATTGAGTGTGGCAAGGAGGATATAAAAAGGTTTCAAGGCAATTTAGTTAAGTTGAGTGAGTGGACAAATAAGTGGGGACATATGTGAAGTTTCCAATGTGGTAGGAAAGATAGAATGGTGGAGTATTATTTAATTAAATGATGATAAATTGGAAAGTATTGATGTACAAAAAGACCTGGGTGCCCTTGTGTAGTAGCCACTGGAAGTAAAGGGCAGCAAGCAGTTTGGAAAGCAAACTGTGTACTGGCCTTTATTGCAAGAGACTTTGAGTACAAGAACAAGAATGTATTAACTAGAGTTTTGGGCCTCAAGTGAAACCACACCTGGAGTGGTGTGTGAAGTTTTGGTCTCCTTACGCAAGAAATGATATCAATGCCATTGACTGAATGGAATGAACGATCACCTAAATGATTACTGGGATGGCAGGGTTATTATGGAGAGAGATTGGGTCAACTAGACCTGTCCACCGAAGTAGGAAGAATGAGAAAGGAACACTCAAACAAATAAAATTCTGAAAGAGCTGAACAGACCATATATGAGGATGATATTCTCCTAGCTTACACAGGCTGGTCAGATGGGCTAATCAGCAGCAAACAGAGTTCAATCTGGGCAAATGTGAGGTGATACACTTGGACAGGACAAACAAGGCAATGGAATTCATGATGAACAGAAGGACCTGGGAAGTGCTGAGGATCAAAGGATTAAGGTATTGGGACAGGCAGATAAGCAAGCATATGGAATACTTGCCTTTATTAGTCAAGGCAAACAATTTAAGATAAGGGAAGTTACACTGGAACTGTATAAAACTTTGGTTAGGTCACAGCTAGAGTATTATGTGCAGTTCTGGAATCCACATTATAGGAGGGATGTGACTGCGCTGGAGAGTGTGCAGAGGAGATTTACCAGTATGCTACCTGGGCTGAAGAGTTCCAGGTATGAAGAGAAGTTGGACAGACTGGAGTTGTTTTTCTTAAAAACAAACTAACTGTGATTGAGAGGGGACATGATTGAAATATATAAAATTGAGGGGCATATAAGTGATGTGGAAAGAAAAAAATTCTTCTTGATGAAGGAATCAATGACCAGGGGGCATAGATTTAAGGTAAGGGGCAGAAAGTTGAGAGGATGTGAGAAAAAGAACCTTTTTTTTAAATCCAGGCCATGATAGGAATCTGGAACACTCTGCTTGTAAGGGCGATAGAGGCAGAACAACTCATAGCATTTAGATGTGCACTTGCGATGCCTGGGCATACAAGGCTATGGGCCTAGTGCTGTAAAATGGGATTAGAATAGCAAGGTGGTTGTTTTTCTGTGTTGTAGATCTCTGACTCCAGCACAATCATTGTTGATCTTACCCATCAACTGCACATTCCTGCCCACTGCAGGATGCTGGCATACCTGAGGGGTTGACACCTGAGCTCACCAACAACTTATCCAGGGCAATAAATGGGTGTTGCTGGCCAGGCCAGCATATCACATGGGCAAATTTAAGAAAAGTGCCAAATCCCTCGATTCCCTTTTAACACCAAAACTCTATCCCAGCCTTAAATATAATTAATGATGAAGGATCCACACACCTTTAGGGTGGAGAATTCCAAAAATCTACACAGTGAAATAGCTCTTCATAAACTCAGTCCTAAATGATTAAGTCTTTATCCTATGACTGGGCCTCTACGTTCCAGATTCCTCAGCCATGGGACACAGTCTCTCAACATCTTTTCTGCCATATCCCTTCAGAACTTATGTTTCAATGAGATCACCCCATTTCATCCAAACACCAGAGAGTATAGACCCCGTTTACTCAGTCTTTCATCTTAGGACTATCACTTATTCCGGGGACGATCTAGTAAACTTTGACTGCATTGCCTCCAAACAAAGTATATTACTCGCGATATGGAGACCAAACAATCTAAGGAGCCTACGAACAATGGCAGCTATTCAATCACAACAGCCACATGAAGTTGGACTCTTGTTAACACATTTCTGCACATTTCCTTCCAGTGAAGCTGTCGGCAACGAGAATAGGTAAAGCAGAGGCTGGTGGAACTGGAGAAATCTGTATGATCAGCTGTGGATACCATGGATATGCACCTCCTCTGTACACACAATTTTATCCTGTACCTTTTACTTTACAACCTGTCAGAGTGTGCAAGCCCATCAGCCACTAGAAGAACAACTGTACAGTGAAGATGCACCATTACTTGAACTCACTCTTCCAACTCAGATAGTGAATATATACAGAATTTACAAGTTAGAATAGGAGTGTAATGATATGCCAGACATTAATGCGCAAGGGCCAGAATGTATGGACTCACTTGAGGGTGGGTTTACACTGGTTTTGTTGCAGAAAACTTAGATCACAAAAGCCAAGGCTCCACAAAATGCCACAGAACAAGTCTAATTCCAACTTGGTACAGGACTTTTTTCATAGCTTCCAATACGGATGGAAGGCTCACCTTAGTCAACACAAAATTTACCACGAAGAAGCTTCTCTTGACAAATCTGAGTTTCAAATTCAGACATATTAACACCATAAAGGCCAAGTCCCAGTAAATTGGCTTCTTTTTCCTATTTTCCTAATCAATCTGTTTAAGAGACGTTGATACACACCTCTGAAACATGTGGGATTTGAACTTGGGTCTCTCAGTCCAGGGGTATGGATACAACCACTGCACCACTACAGCCCCTATAGAAAGTTAGCTATTGCTACTGCTTTTCATCAAAAGGATCTCGGATTAAGTTGAGCTGGGAACAAACTGGAACTAGAAAAGTCAAGAAAAGGCTGTGATCTCTCCATGAAATGAAAATGTGGCATTCCTCACTTCCTGAAATGATAAGCTGTCAAGTACACATGCACAAAGATAATACTGCTTAGATGTTTCCCTATGTAAATCAACCCAGTCAGAAGAAATTGCTAAACTATACATCAACATTTGTAGTTTAATTGGACAGTATCTTATAGGAGCCCAATGTTCACATTTCAGAAGAAAATCTGAATGTACACTAACCACCCATTGGGATTTATGTTAACTAGAAATGAGAACCACGATGACAACCTGCAAAAAATATGGTAATCATTTAAGAAGAGTCAAAATTGCACAAACATCCCTACATCCAGTTAGGGCGGCACGGTGGCTCAGTGGTTAGCACTACTGTCTCAGTGCCAGGGACCTGGGTTCGATTCCGGCCTCAGGCGACTGTCTGTGTGGAGTTTGCACATTCTCCCCATGTCTGTGTGGGTTTCCTCCGGGTGCTCCCATTTTGTCCCACAGTCCAAAGATATGCAGGCTACGGGGATTGGCCATGCTAAATTTGTCTGTAGTGTTCAGAGATGTGTAGATTAGGTGGGTTATAGGGGAAAATCTGACTGGGTGGGATGCTCTGAGGGCTGATGTGGACTTGTTGGGCCGAAGGCCCTGTTTCCACACTGTAGGGATGCTATGATCTACGATCCCTGTGGTCGTCGAATAAAAATAATCTCCAATTTTACAAATCCATCTCAAGCACAGTGAAATCACTTTAAGACATGTTTCTGCCTACACAAATGCATCAGGTATTCTTGAGACAGTGCAGTAAATGAGCAACATTAGATTATCAATTGTTTCACACCACATTCAAATGGAAACCTTCCTTGTTGAAACTGTTTGAAACAAAAAATCTAGAGTTTGATGGCAGAAGTACCCAGTCAATTTAAAGTTCAAAGTCTTTGACGGCAAAAGTCACCAGTTTAAAATTCAAAGTCCTCACCCCGTCAAAGTCATGAGGTTTGTTTTCAGAACACAGACTGGTTCCTATGAAAGGCAGTTCTGAAAGTTACCCAACAGCTATGCAAAAACAAATCAAAGGATTCTAGTTCAAAAGGATTGATGAAAAATTTAGTCTCACACAGCATATTGAGAAATAGACCAGACTCTAGGAATATCATTCCTGACTATCTCCTATGGTCTATACATAGATATTTGACAAGGGTTCAAATTCTGGGTTTAACAGCAAGAATGTTAAGGGAGATTGCTTTGGGTACAAAAATAATGAATCAGTCACACTTTCCTCCAATCACTCAAATCAACACTTCACACAACAAATCTAAGATAACAGTCCTCATACAATAATTCATTTGAAATACAATGAGAGGTTCAGAACATTCAATTCCAGTGTTGCAGGAAGAGGAGACAAGTTGGCATTAACTAGAGACGGTGGACCAAATGGCCATAGAATACTGTACCTTCAATTTTTGTAACTGTTGTAAGATCATGTAGTCTGACATGTTGTCAAAGAGCCCATCTGTTGCCGTAAGAATGATATCACCCACTTCTACATTGAACATGGAACCTTCTGCTGCTTCAGGGCTGCAGAGTACAAAAAAAAAAGAGCATGAGCGCTGTGGATGAGTCGAGATATTTTGGGGCTCAAGTATATAAAATAACAAAAGCTACCAGATGGGGACCCCAGCTGTCACAATATATATTAACAATTTGGACAAAGGAATTGAATGCAATATCTCCAAATTTGCAGATGACACTAAGCTGGGTGGCAGTGTATGCTGCGAAGAGGATGATAAGAGGCTGCAGGGTGACTTGGACAGACTGGCTGAGTGGGCAAATACAATACAATGAGGATAAACATGAGGTTATCCACTTTGGTGGCAAAAACAGGAAGGCCGATTATAATCTGAATGGTAGCAGTTTAGGAGAAGGTGAGGTGCAATGAGACCTGGGCGCCATGGTAGAACAGTCACTGAAGGTTAGCACAGGAGCAAGAATGTCTTGCTGCAGTTGTATAGGGCCTTGGCGAGGCCACACCTCTCGAGTATTGCATGCAGTTTTGGTCTCCTAGTCTGAGGAGCAACGTTCTGCTATTGAGGGAGTCTAGCAAATGTTCACCAGACTGATTCCAGAATGACAGGACTGACATATGAAGACTGGCCTTATACTCACTGGAATTTAGAAGAATGAAGGGGGTGGTTCTCAGAAACATATAAAATCTTGACAGGACTGGATAGCACTAGTGGGGGTAGAATGTTCTTGATGCTAGGGACCAGTCTAAGAATAAGGGGTAAGCCATTCAGGACTGAGATGAAGAAGAATTTCTTCACTCAGAGTTGTGAACCTGTGGAATTCTCTCCCATAGAAAAGCTATTGGGGCCAGTTCATTAGATATATTCAAGGAACTGGACGTGGCCCTTGCAGCTAAAAGGATCAAGGGATATGGAGAGGACGCAGGAGTGGGATACTGAAAATGCATGATCAGCCATGACCATATTGAATGGTGGGTGTAAGCTCAAAAGAGCCAAATGGCCTAATCCCGCATTTATTTTACATATTTCTATGAATGAAAGTTATTTAAAAAGCTAAAATCTATTAATATCATGTTTGCCTTTATTTCAAGGGATGGGAGTTCTCAGCATTCAAAATATACAGGGCTGTAGACAAATCATCTCTAAAAATCACCCTGGAACCTCCACTTTCAGTGGTGACCAATGGAAGAGAAAATGTTGCTCCTGTAAATAAAATGGAAGGAAATGATGAGGAGCTGCATCCTCAATCACAGGCCAGTTCTCTGATACTTGCATTGATACCTCACTATGAGGTCAACAACAGCAAACATTGGAGAAAACTTCCAACCAGAGATTGCTGGAGTGAGGTGAGGGGCAGAAGGACCAGGGACTGGGTTGGAGACTGGAGGACTGTGATCAGTGAGCGACAAGCAGGACTAGGGCCTGAAGTGCTATAAGAGTTGGAGAGCAAGAGAGCTGGCACCTGTGAGAGAGAGCGAACACAAAGGGAGAAGGTTCAATGGGTGGGGGCTAGAGGGATGGTAATAGATGTTCTAGGAGGAAGGTGATCATGACCAACTACATATCACGATTGTTCCCAGAGTCTAGAACAGTTCTAGCAGATTGTAAGTAAACAAACGGTAACACGGGGCTATTCAAACCAGGGACAGAGAAAACAAAGAAACTACAAGCGAGTTAGCCTGCCATCTTACCACAAGGGGAAACAGCCACACTATATCTACCTACCCCATCAAGTACCATACTCAACCTTTCTTCAGACAGTCCTCATAACATTTTAGGAAGTGTTTAGGTGCACACTCACAATGCCAAGTCATACAAGGCTATAAGGGCCAATTGCTAGAAAATGGGATCAGAACAGGTCGCTGTTTTTGACTGGTACGATGAGTCAAAGGGACTTTTTCTGTCCTCTACGACTCCACTAATTACAGTCTGCCAACATGAAAACTGGCCCTTTATCCTAAATCCTTACCTTCTATTAATAAGCCAGTCCTCTATTCATGCTAATATACTACCTCCAACACCATGGGCTCTTAAGTAGCCTGATTTATAGAACTTTATGAAATACCTCCTGAAAATCCAAATATGTTAGATCTCCTTTATGTGTTCTGTTTGTTACCTTCTCAAAGAATTAAAATAAATTTTTCAGGCACGATTTCCTCCTCAAGACTTTGCTTGATCATGTGTATTTCTAAATGTTCTATAGGTAGGTGATGTATTATTGCTAGACTATGAATTCAGAAGCTCAGCTAATATGCTGGGGACTTGGATTTGAATCCCGGTAAGGCTGATGTTGGATCTTGAATTCAATTAAAACAAAATCTGAAATTAAGTAAGAGTCTAGTGATGACCATGAAATCAATGCCAATTGTCAGCAGAAACCCATCTGACTCATTAGTGCCCTTCAAGGAAGGAAATCTGCCATCCTCACCTGGTCAGGCTACATGTCAGAGGGATAGACCTGTACAGCATGGAATCAGACCCTTTGGTCCAACTCATCCTTGCTGAGCAGATATCCTAAATTAATTTGCCAGCATTTGGCCCACATCCCTCTAAACCCTTCCTATTCTTATACCCATCCAGATGCCTTTTAAATGCAATTGTACCAGCCTCCACCCCTTCCTCTAGCAGCTAATTCCATACAGGCACCACTCCTTGTGTGAAAACAGTGCCCCTCAGGTCCCTTTTAAATCTTTCCCCTCTCATCTTAAACCTTTGCCCTCTAGTTTTGGACTTGCCCCACCCCAGGGAAAAGACTTCGTCTATTTACCATATCCGTGCTCCTCATGATTTTATAGACCTCTATATGGTCACCCCCTCAGCCTCCAACACTCCAGGGAAATTAGCTCCAGCCTATTCAGCCTCTCCCTATTGTTCAAACCATACAACTCTGGCAACATCCTTGTAAATACTTTCTGAACCCATTCAAGTTACACTACATCCTTTCTATAGCAGTGTGAACCAGAATTGCATGCAGTATTCTAAGCAATTTCCTGTACAGCTGCACCATGACCTCCCAACTCCTATACTCAACGAACTGACCAATAAAGGCAAGCATACCAAATGCCTTCTTCATGATCCTGTCTACCCATGACTCCACTTTCAAGGAACTATGAATCTGCAATCCAAGGTGTCTATGTTCAGCAACACTCCCTAGGACCTTACCAATAAGTGAATAAGTCTTGCCCCGATTTGCCTTTCCAAAATCCAGCACCTCACATTTATCTAAATTAAACTTGATCTGCCACTCCTCAACCCACTGGCCCATCTGATCAAATCCTGTTGAACTGAGGTAACTTTCTCTGCCGTCCACTACACCACAAATTTTGATGCCACATACAACATAGAACAGAACAGCACAGTACAGGCCCCCTTTGGCCTACGATGTTGTGCCAAACTTTTACCCTAAACCTAAGATCTATCTAACCTCCACCCCTACCTTATACTATCATCCATATGCCTATCTAATAGCCGCTTAAATGCCCCTAACGAGGCCGACTCCACTATCCTCTCCGGCAATGCATTCCACGCCCTTACCACTCTTTGAGTAAAGAACCTACCTCTGACGTCTGTCCTATATCTACCTCCACTTACTTTAAAACTATGCCCCCTCATAATAGCTACTTCCACCCTAGGAAAAAGTCTCTGGCTGTCCACTCTATCTATACCTCTGATCATTTTGTACACCTCTATCAAGTCACCTCTCATCCTTCGTTGTTCTAGAGAAAAGCTCTCTTAACCTTTCCTCCATTCCAGGCAACGTCCTGGTAAATCTCCTCTGCACCTTTTCCAACACTTCCACATCTTTCCTGCAATGAGGCGACCAGAACTGGAAACAATACTCCAGATGTGGCCAAACCAGGGTTTTGTATAGCTGGAGCATAATTTCACAGCTCTTGAACTCAATCCCTCTATTAATGAAAGCAAATACACCATACGCCTTCTTAACAACTCTATCCACCTGGGTGGCAGCCTTCAGGGAACTGTGGACATGAACCCCAAGATCCCTCTGCTCCTCCACACTGCCAAGAATCTTACCACTAACTCTGTATTCTGCTTTCAAGTTTGTCCTTCCGAAATGAATCACCTCACACTTTTCAGGGTTAAACTCCATCTGCCACTTCTCAGATCAGCTCTGCATCCTATCAATGTCCCTTTGTAACCTAGAACAGCCCTCCGCACTGTCCACAATGCGACCCACCTTCGTATTGTCCTCGATCTTCAAGTTCCTCAAAATTCCTAGTATATCTTCCTTACTAACATCGACCTCCTCTAGCCTACCAGCCTGTTTCACACTGTCCTCCCCTACTAGGTCCCTTTGTGAACACTGAAGAAAAGTATTCATTACGGACCTCTCCTATCTCTTTAGGCTCCGTGCACAAAATCCCTTTACAATCCTCGATCGGCCCTACTCTTTCTCTGGTCATTCTCTTATTCCTCACATACGTGTAAAAAGCCTTGGGGTTTTCCTTGATCCTATCTGCCAAGGTTCTCTCATGCCCCCTTATAGTTCTTCTAAGCCCTTTCTTCAGCTCCTTCCTGGCTGACTTGTATCCCTCTAGAGCCTTTTCCGATCCTCGTTTCCTAAACCTTATATAAGCATCCTTCTTCCTCAGTCTTTCGACCTTTCTCGAGAACCAAGGCTCCCTCACTCAACCGCATCTTCCCTGTCTGCTAGGGACGAACATATCGATCACACGCAGTATGCATTCCTTAAACAATCTCCACATTTCTATAGTGCTCTTCCCTGGCAGCATCTGTTCTCATTTTATGTTACGCAGTTCTTGCCGAACAGAATTATAATTACCCTTCCCCAAATTATAAACCTTACCCTGCTGTATGTACCTATCCTTTTCCATGACTACTGTAAAAGTAACAGAGTTATGATCGCTACTGCTAAAATGCTCTCCTACCAACAGATCTAACACTTGGCCCAGTTCATTGCCAAGCACCAAATCCAAAGTGGCCTCTCTTCGTGTTGGTCTATCTACATACTGTGTCAGGAATCCTTCCTGAACGCACTGGACAAAATCCGCTCCATCTAAACTATTACAA